TGGAGCTGGGGCGGGAGCAGGAGCCGGAGCTGGGGCGGGAGCAGGAGCCGGGGCGGGAGCGGGTGCGGGAGCAGGCTTAGGAGCGGGAGCAGGCTTAGGAGCGGGAGCAGGCTGAGGGGCCGGGGCGGGCACCGGCACGACAGGCACGTAGGTCACCTGAGGAGGGCAAGCCGGGCAGTTCGGGACAGGAACCTGCGTGGGCTTGGAAGGAATGGTCGTCGTCGTCTTCTTGCCCTTGTCGGCGAGGAAGCAGACGACCTCGTTGCACTTGGGCGGATCCGCCTTCTTCTTGGGCTCGACCTTGCACGACTTGCAGGCCTCATGCTTCTTGTCCTTCTTGCAGACCTCGGGATCGCACTTGTTGCGAAAGTGCTTGCGGTGGTAGTACTCGCGGAACTCGCGGTGGCCCGTCTGGCTCTTGTGGCAGTGGCCGCAGCCCTTGCGGTAGTAGTGGCCCTTGCACTCGGGCGACTCGCAGTCCTTCCGCGTCGTGGTGTGGTTGCCGTGGTGGCCGTGGTGGCCATGGTGGTGGTGGTGGACCTCGCAGTGTCTGCAGCCGTCGCGTTCGTGGTGGTCGCGGCAGTAGTCGCTGTGACAGTCCCGATGAGAAGGCCAGTGGTGGCCGTGGTGGCCGTGGTGTCCATGGTGGTGGCCGTGGTGATGAGGGAACTTGCGGCCCTCCTCCTCGATGACGACCTCCTTGGAGCAGTGCCCGCAGCTGCGGTGGCCCCTGTGGTCACGGCAGAAGTCGGAGCGGCAGTCGCGCATGCGGACGGCCCCGGCGCCGGCCTCCTCGGCCTTCTCGTCCGTCTCAGCCTCAGGTACGAAAGCCTTGTTGGCCGGGGGAGGGAGCTCGTTCACGGCATCGGCGGCAGCCTTGGCGACATCCGTGTTGCCAGGAACGGCGGCCACGGCGGCGGCGGATACCTGGGCAAGTCCGAGGAGGACCGCCAGGACGGTCGAAGGGGCCTTCATGATGCCGAACTGTTGTGAAGAGCGAAGCGATTGCCTAGGTGAGTTGACTTGAACCGAAGAGGAAGGATGATGGGCTAGCGGACGAGTGTGAAGCTGTGAGTCTGAGAAGTCAGATGGGACATCATACTCGACCCCTTTATAACCCGAGCACTGACAAGTCTCGATTCGAGGAGAAATGATCGGATCGAGCAACAGTCGGATCAAAACTGTCGAGTCGGCATGGCTAGACCTTTAGCCGCGGTGTTCGCTCGCCAAGCTTCGCGGAAGACCACCAGGAACGAACAGAGGCTTGCTCACGAAGAGAGTGTTGAGGGAGGGCTTCTTCCGACCCTCAGCATCCGTCTTGCTGGGAGCATGCTGATACTCCTTTGATGACGCGAAATCTGCAACAGCCACCAGGTAGTAACATGTACTGAAAAGGCCGCCACAAGCGCCAGACATGCAACATGGAGGTTGTTGTCGTCTTGCCGAGTAGACTCATGAAGAGTCGCTGTGTTTAATAACCTTCCTGGCTGTCAAGCCCCGCCGCCATCACAAGTGCTCTTCAATAATCATGAGTTCACGATGCTCTTATGGCTGAAGCAGCACGCTGAAGAAAAAAAGGGGGCACTTCTTCGCAGCGGCAACCGCCCCGGATGAACGATATACTAGCGGCCAAACTCAGTCTAATGCTTTCAGAATTGCCAACGTGTCGCTTACTAATGTCAGTCTATCCTCGGGGGAGGACTGTTCGAAGCAACGGACGCCGCGGTGGCGGACCGACCCGAGCCCACCAGTTGTTTAAGTTGCGGTCGAATTGAGATCAATTGCGTTGCGCATGGCGCACCATAGGCAGAAGGAACAAATGGCGGGCAGACGGGAACCGAGGCTGAAGTTGATCTGAGAAGCGCAAGCCCTCGTTGATATTCGATTACCATGCCTGAAAGCTACTGCTCCACCTGCAACGCAAACGCTCGGTCGGATATTTCCAGTCGTCTCGAACGCATGCTCGCTGTTGTATGTACCTGGTGCTCCTGTTTCTTTTTCTTTGCCAATCCCAACCGTCTCGCTGTGGTGTCAAAACAAATACAAGTGATCGTCCCCGCAGAACGCCCGCCAAACCGCCCTATGCACCCTGGTTCGCCCTGGCCCCTCCTCCGAAGCCCGATTGTCGGATCGGAGTGATGGATCGAGAGTAGAAAAACTACTCGTCGGGCGTGCTGCTCTGAAAGAGGCCGACGCGCATGCGGTGGCTCTGCGGTCTGTTAGCATTGAGTTTTGGGCGAGCGCCACGGCAGCAGCAGCCGCAGCCGCAGCAACAGGCAAAGGGGGGAACGCACAAAGGGGAGCTTCGGAATGACGACCGCCAAGAGGGCCATGAAATTAATGATAAAGTATGCGAGATCGTAGTGTGTGTAGTGGGTGCTCAGCAGGAAGAGCATGATGGGCACGCTGAGAAGAAACTTTTTGGCGGGAGTGTACTGGGCGCCATCGTCGATCTGCTCCCACATGTTGAGGTTGTCGAAGGCTCCGCCGTTGAACTCAAAGGGGATGCCACGGACGTAGTGGAACATGATGTACGAGCCGACCATGTAGGTGATGTTGGTGAGTGTCCATGACGTCTCCTGGGATACGCCGGGGATGATGTCGTAGAAAATCTTGAGTCCAGCGATGAGGACAAAGTGGATGGTCCAGGCACCTGCGGGCGGAAAAGAAGATTAGTGAGAGAGCTCAGAGGTGCAGGACGACGGAGGGGAAGGCCGTGGCACTGGCTCACCTTTGGCGTTGACCCAGTTGGCATTCAGGTTGGGCACGACGGCCTGGTCACTTATCTGCTCGAGAGTCTCGGGCGGCTCGTAGTGGACCTGGAGTATGCTACTAGACCTCCTGCGCCTGCCGGTGCGATCCGCCATGGCTCTGTACGAGGTGCTGCCACGTCGAGGTTGGTTGGCGGCTCCGTCGTACGAGACGGTTCGAGAGATGAGAATGGGAGAAGACAGTTTGGCGGTATTGACGGGGGTCTCGTCGGGAAGAGAGAGGTGAGGAGATTGGACGAGGGCGTGGGGATGTGGGTGAGGACAGAGAGAGAGAGATGGAACGAGTTTGTTGCGATGGCGAGGAAGCTTTTCGGGAGCTCGGAATGATTATCGTGGCCCCTTGTTGGGATTGTTTCGTACAGGACAGCCCCCTTTCGTATGATGTCACAAAAGGCGTCGGTTGTTGGTCGCAGCGAATTGATGCGAGGCCAGAATTAAGTTCGTCAAAGTTGTCTGAACGAATGATGGAGAAGACTGCTGATGGTAAGAAAAAAAGCAGGCCGTTGAAGAAGGCTCTGGGTGGTGTTTGGTACAGTACAGCGAAGAATGGAAGATGCGGCTCGTGGTTTGAGCAAGATGGGGGGTGGGTGGGCTGTGGGAAAGTGAACAGCGAGATGGGAGATAGATTGACGTTGCCCCCCC